AAAATTAAAAAATATATTTAAAATATGCCCCATAATACTAAAAGAACAGTTGCACTAGCAAACAAGTTATCTATATTTGATTTTATATTTTGATTCCTTATCTTACGATATCCTGTATAATCCACTTGATCCATTCTCACTTCTTGATCTARTATTTTGAATATTTTATCCTCCGTAGTTCTAATTTTTTTTAAAATATTAATGGCTTCTTGACCTTTCTGTTGATCTAAACCATAGCTATTATTTCCTAAGTACTTTATTGAAGCATCTAATATATGCAATTGTCTAACTATTATCCCCAATGCCTGTGCAATATCTTCAGCCTTCATATCATATTTTTTTAAATCTAAAGAATGGTAAGACCAACTCCATGTATGAAAACATTTAAGCGCTKTAGCCAAAAGTTTACGATGTGGTGTTAAAGTGATCCCCATATTAACAAATTGATCATTATTTCCAGTGAGAAAACTTTTAAAAGTTACATCCCTAGAAACTAGACGATCTACATACATTTCCATTGATAATGTTTCTAAAAATGATTTAATGTCTTTACTAAAACCATTTTCCAATTCAGTCATAACTTCAGTCCAGTAATTATGTTCTTCTCCTGGATAATAAACTTGTAGCTGTGCATTTTTATAATCCATATTCAATACATTTAAAATATCAACCATGTTTTTATTTTCAGCTATTCTATGCACTGTCTGATATTTTTTGTCGGTGGCATCTTTATTTGCTCCTTTTGATAAAAGATATTTGACAACATTTACATGGTTGAGACGTACTGCAAAAAACAAAGCCGTCTCTCCAAACTGATGATCTTTCAACTCTATATCTGCACCATGATCAACAAGAAATTCTACTAATTTCAACCAACCATTGGAGCATGCGTACATGAGCGCTGTCAGTCCAKTTCTATCTTTTGAGTTGATATCAATACTATCAAAATTTGATAAAAGCTTTAGACAATTTAATAAGTCCAATTCATTAGAAATTTTAGTACAATTGCATACACACATTATAACATTATGACAGTCATATTCAAGTAATGGATCAGCACCATTCTGTAAAAGATATGTCACAGCATCTAAAGATCCATTAAATGCTGCATGCATCAAAGCAGTCCAACTATTATGCAAATAACTGTTGATATTAATAGTTCCACAYTTTAACACACGGGTGATTTCTGATACATTATTTGTTGCACAGGCAGTTATTAATGTTAATTGAAGATCTTCTACTTTCGGTTCTACATGATATGACTTCTGTTCAATAAGATCACCAAATTCATCATACTCGTCGCTTTCCCAACCAGCTGGAACAATGTTTTTCTCAAATTTCATTTTGATACTTATTGGAACTAGAACAAATAATATTATGCATAATTAATTAATATTTTATACTAATAAATTTGGAACATACATACTAAAATATAAAAATTAGATTTTTAAGCTACAGATATGTAATCGTTACTCTTATACCTAACAGTAATATAGTACCACAAAATTAGTACCAAATACCAGAATTTCATGATACTGATTCATGTTGTAGATTTTATTTACATTGTGTACTGATTATTGGKATCGTGTTCATTGCTGATTTTTGACTTAATCTAACTTGGTTAGTTTTGAAAATAGAAAAAACTGTATTGCAGCAGTGTGTATCGAGAGAGCTAAAAATACGAAATTTGTCTGAAAATATGTATTTAAGAATTACATATCACCTCCCGAAAACCTCATTTTAATACAATGTCACTCAGATRAGATATTCAGTGGTACCTAATATTGTRATCACATTGTATATAGACAGTACATAAAAATAGAGATTATAAAGTAATTTGAAAGTTGAAACATTGATGTAGGGAGGGCATAAGAAATATCACCCTCCCTACCCGTTGACAGTGTTTAAATATAAAAAGTATATCAACTACCCAGCAATCAGCATTGAACATATGTATGATGAAATTGAAATATCAAAAAACATTATACGTATACAATTTTAAGACTATATACTAGAACCTCAAGCAAAACACCAATATATTTAAACTAAGTGACTGAGTAGGATTGTCTTGCACCTCTTGAAGTTCCAGTAACTTGTTTTTCCTATACCTTACAACTCAGTATTTCACATTTTCATTTAACATGTAGAATAATAACGGGATATCTTAGACCTATGCTAATAAAAAACATCTAACCATTAGTTGGGGCAGCACCACTGGAAATAAGAAGATATGCAACAATAATATGTTTAGAAAAAAGAAAACAAGCATTCAATTAAATATATTCTATGTATGGTTATACAGAAACCCAAATCAAACTCAATTCATACATGACCCCCTAGAAAAACTTTGAATACAACACTCGAAAGGATAATTATTGTAGGCCACCCAACTAAATATTTACTATCTGGTAGGAATCTCACTATGAACCCTTTAGAAAATATTAACACAGATTAAGAACTGAAGTGGCCAACACAAAGACTGACTCTGTGAAAGACATATGATTGTAATGAGAGTGAAACTGACATCAATCTATTACTCTATTACAGTATAAGTAGTCTAGTTAAATTACAATATATAAAAACGGCTTAGYTATTATTTACAAAAAATTCAATAAATATAACAACCCACTGGCTCACACACAAGATTTGACAACCACACAATCATGTAGATGTTATAATTGTTTAACTATACCTACTAAACCTATGTTTGCGTATTTTTGTAATAAACAAATGTATATTTATTTATTGATATTGATATTGATATTTAATGTTCATAGGCGTGCGCAGACTTCAATTTCCGGT